GTACTTTTTTCGACATCTTCAAAATTTTTCTCTAGGGTATTATAATATCAAATTATGATTATCTTGAGTGGCACTAGACAAGCAGCTACAGAAAACAATCAGCGAGAATATAACACTTGCGCTAAGAAATGCAAGGCAATCAGATAAAAGCGAGACATCAATGTCTCGCTGATTTTCTGGTTTTGTAATAATATTTTTAATTTTTTTTTATTTTGTGCCCTTGGGGTCTTATCACTACGTGATATAGTTTATAGCTTTATGAGTTAAAAGATTTTGTGCCCTTGGGGTCTTATCACTACGTGATAAGACCCCAAGGTTCTTTCTGAAAGTTCTTTCGTACTTATTTTTTGACTTTACTCCAAATTAATCAAAAGTCCCAGTTAACAAAAAAATTTTCAAATATTCTAAAAAGTGAAATAAGTTAATTTTTGTTTTTAAATCATAAGTTTTTGCTTGGTAGAGTAATACAGATAATGTCAAATTAATTAATCTGACATAAGCGAAATAGTAATAGCAATTGAGTAATATAATTTTATAATAAAAATTTTTCTAAATATAACAAAACATTAAAAAAAAAAATCGTGTAATAGACAGTTGTCTATAACACAATTTAAAATAAATTGTGTTATAGACAGTAGCGGATTCAGCATAGGGTGTGAGGGAGTCATCAAGGAATCATGAAGTCTTACAGACGTCTGTAAGACTTCATGATTCCTTATGATGTCCAACAAACGTTCTGTTCCCGCTGGAAATGAAACCTTGCAGAAAAAGTTTTTTAATGCTTGCTTTCAGTAATATGCTTCGCGTAAATATAATATAACAATATATAAACTTGGTATCTGAAAGAAGATCCAAAAGATCTTGTCACCAGAACCATATTAAATATATCAAACGTGTATATATAATAAAAATAAAATTGATTTAATAACTATTAACAATGTAGAATAAACAAAGACTGAAAATAATTTTACAAACTACGCAGAGTAACAATAGTTTTACATTTCAAAAATATTTTTATAGAAAGAATATAGTTTTAAAAATTAAAAATAGCCAGTAGAAAGAATATAGTTTTAAAAACAGAAAACGAAATTGACAAATCAAAAATAGGAACAACAATTTCGTTCTATAAATACGGCGCTCGATAGTTTATGCAAAATGAATTAAATTTGTTTGACAAAAGGGTTCAATTAATAAATTATTATTTCGTAAAGTATTTTTGTTTATAGCTTTATGAGTTAAAAGATCTTTAAAAGTGAGCAACCGTTGTTCACTTTTACAATGAAACATAAAACATAAAATATTATCGACATTGAATTCGTAAACGTTAAGTGCTTTAACTTTTTTAAATAAAATATTTGAATTTATAAAAATATTCTCATTCAAATATTTTATTTAAAAAAGTTAAAATTGTTTTTCTCGAGAAAAAAGATTTTCAAAACATATTAAACGCATAGCGTGTTTCTGACGATGGTAGCTTACTTTTAAAGGTACTTCCCTAAACAGTATTTGCATAATTTATATTTGATTAATTTATAATTAATTGCAATCTTTTATCGAACTTTTATATTGATGAACTAAGCATTTCTCTAATCTAACGGTATGCTTTCAATAATTCGTCATTATGTCGATAAAGTTACACGTAAGAATATTTACTACACACTCTTAATTAAAAGGTGTAAAATTACATCGTTTAGGTGTTAATATAACCTCAAGCGGTGTTTTTGAAACTTTTTTAAGAAAAAAGTGTAAATTTACACCGTTTTGGTGTAATTATACACTCTGAAAGTCAATTTAATAAAACGGTGTGAAACAACATCTTTTTATAATCACTACACCGTTTTAAAAAGGTGTAAAAATCAATTATTGTGATGTTTTTTTCTTTTACATCTTTTATTAAAACGGTGTAAAACGGTGTAAAGCTGTTTTAAAATGTTTTACACCGTTTAATTAAAGGGTATAAACTTTACAATACTAAATTTTTACACCTTTTGAAATAGTGTAGTGATAAAATAAAGGTGTTTCACCGTTTTATTAAAAATTAAGCTTCAGAGTATACACTTTTAATTGATGGAGAAGAGGAACAAGTAAATTTTTTTTTACGGTAATCACAATATCTTTTTTATTTGATGTATAAACTAAACTAAACAAGTTTTTACGAATAAACCTTCTTTTTAGGCGCCGGTTCAATCTCCTTAGATTTCCAGCCATTTATAAGTAAGTATATAAATTTTTGCTTTTAGAGAAACCGTCCCACTAGGGTAAAGGGGAACAAGTGTGAGTAGAAGTCTGACAAATAAATTTAAAACAAGATTTTAATACAAGTTCTTAAATAGAAAAATCATAAAATCACCTAATCGACATTAAAATGTTCAAGAGCTTTCACCTATCGAAATAATCAAATAGCGACGGAAAGAAGCGGGACATAAAATAATTCTTTTCTCTGTCCTGTCCTGTCTGTCCTACTTCACCCCAATGAAAACACTTTGAAATATACTAAAACAGTGTAAATTAACACCAAAACGGTGTTAATTAACACTAAAAAGGTGTGCAGCATGAAATACACTAAAACGGTGTAATTTAACACCGTTTCGGTGTTTTTTATGCTGCACACCTTTTAGTGTAATTTAACACCTTTTAATTAAGAGTGTATACACTATTAATTAAAAGGTGTTAAATTTCACTAAAAATGTGTGTTAATTAAAAGGTAATTAAAAGTGTATATACTCTTAATTAAAAGGTGTTAAATTACACTAAAAAGGTGTGCAGCATGACAAACACCGAATCGGTGTTAAATTACACCGTTTTAGTGTATTTCATGCTGCACACCTTTTTAGTGTTAATTTACACCGTTTTGGTGTTAATTTACCCTGTTTTAGTGTTTTTCATGCTGCACACCATTTTAGTGTTAATTTACACCGTTTTGGTGTTAATTTACACTGTTTTAGTATACTTTATGCTTCACACCTTTTTAGTGTTAAACTACACCGTTCCAGTGTATTTCAGGCTAGTTTCAAACAAAAACACATCTAAAAATTAACATACACATATTTAATTATAAAGTACATAAAAATATGTTCCTGTTTATGTTCTACTCATTAAAAAAGTTCTTTAAAAATGTCTTTATGGTTCATTTAAAGTTAATGATTTCAAGAGTTGACTTGCCTTTATTGATAAAAGAAGAACATTTTTAATATAAACTGCCAACATTAACCAAAATGATTACGAACTAAGGATACTCAGGGTTAAATGTATAAAAGAAACCATAGTTTAGTGTATATAATATCAACAACCTTTCTTGGGAAGCAACCACAACAACAACAAGATATTTATCTCCTCCATAGTAGTCTGCAAGCTGCATGTCAGTGACTTCTGGGTTTTGCTTAATAACAGTTAAGCGAGGATTTAAATGATACACAATACCATTAAAAGGATGTCGTCATTGTAATTCTAAAATAAACAAACAAAATAAAACATGATTTATTAATCCAAATTATTGATATAGAAAAGTCCAGCTAAATAAGTTAAACTTTTGACAAAGCAGGAAAAAAATTATTATAATACTTTATCATGACATACTTGTGGTGTCTTCATATATATATATATATATATATATATATATATATATATATATATATATATATATATATATATATATATATATATATATATATATATATATATATATATACACACATATATATATATATATATATATATATATATATATATATATATATATATATATATATATATATATATATATATATATATATATTTATATATATATATGTATATATATATATATATATATATATATACATATATATATATACATGAATATATAAATAAGTATATACATACATACAGAATGCATACATACAGAATATACAGAATATGCATACATACAGAAGTGAACAGAGGGTGGGGGGTCCGGGTCAGTTTTCCCAGCGTATTGTTTAAGGGGCATCATCAGATAACAAAAAAAATTTCAATATGTCGAATAAAAAATTGAAAACATCCAATAAAATTTTTTTAAATATTTACTTTACCTTAATTCATCAAATTACAGAGAGATTTCAAGCTCTGAAACAGCAATGTAGAATAATTTCCTGCATCTGGTGTCTGCCTGACATTAACTCAGACTAAACAAACAGTAAATAATTGTTTAGTCTAGTAAAGTTAAAGATCTCGTACTTCTGTATCTAAATGATCTTGTAAAGACCAAAAAACATTTTTTTCTTCTACTCTCTGTTTCCTAATGATCCTACTTCCTACTTCAGCTTCTAGTTCATCCTAGCGAAGAAGAAACTGCAGTTCTTTTTATAGTTATTTGATTTGAGAGAGAAGATGTGATATTGATGTTATTCAGGAGAAGTATAGTACTGAATAACACATGGAACATATTCTAAAAAGTTAACACTAATAAATAACACAAATACACCTTTTCCTGTCATTCAACTTAACAATATGAAAAAGTTATATAGTAAAAATAATTTAACTGTAAAAGAAAAAGAATTTATAGCTTGGATATTATAAATTTATAATTTCATTCAAATATTTGTTACTAACAATACTAGTAATTTCATTTTCAGAACATAATTGTTATTTACTTTATTGTTAATAATATTAATAACTTAATAATAATGGGAATCGTAATCATCAAAATAATATATTATTTAACAAAATATGTAGTAATTTCAAACGATATTTAATATATGTTAAAAATTCAATAAAACATGTTGGCAAATATATCTTTTAAAAGTAAAAGTTGGTATACTATTTGAAATATCATTTTAAAATTATGATATTAAAAGTATACATAATGAAATATAAAACCAATGAAAACATAACTTTTCTTTAACCATTGATATAGATAAAAAAAAAAAACTAACCATCTAATCAACATTGTGTATTAGAATCCAGCTCATGCAGCATCTCACCTTCATCAATTTATAGTCACTCTTTTGTACACACAGTTATTGCATTTATTTACATCTAATATTCCTAAAGGTTTAATTGTTAAACTTGATACAATATAGTAAAATGTTAATAAACAATATAGCACAATGTTAATAAAACTATATATATTTATAGGTAGTAATTTTTTATACGCATTATTTAGTGTGTAAGTAAAAAACACTAAATAATGCGTAAAATTTTTTACTTACTTTACTCATATAATTTAAATAACTTATTCAATTTGAAAAAATAAGAAGAATAAATAAGAAATTTAATTTGAGCTAATCGAACACTATTTTAGCTACGTGCCTATATTATAGGTAGTTTGCTATATAATATAGGCTATAAAACGCAATTTGCACGTGCACGTAGTTAAAAAAGTGTTTATTAACATTTTACTATATTGCATGCAATATATATTGGGCCAATGTCTTATAAGTAATAAGATATATGCCCAATATATATAGTAATAATCATGCCACAATATATATTATTAATAAGAAATTTATTACTAGCAAGACATTTGCCCAATATATATGGTAATAATAATGAAACGATAAAACGTTAAGGGGTCGTCCATAAATAACGTCACGCTATAAGGGGAGGGGGGATTAGTAATTTTGTGACGACTCATACAAAACTTGCTTCTTAAGTGTTACGATTTTGTGACGAGGGAAGGGGGGAGGTCAAAATCTGTCAAAAAATGCGTGACGTAATTTATGGACGATCCCTAAACACTAAAATGCGTCTAACAACGTTTATTAATAAGTTTATGTTTTTGGTGTAAAACTGTTGGCCACTTATGAAAAAAAGTTTAAAACAACTCTACACCATCTAATGTTGATACGCTTTTATATAAAGCTGCTCAATAAAAAAAGATTTAATAAAGATTTGCAAAAGCCTTTAGCTCTGTTTTGTGACACCGTTTTGTAAGCAGCTTTACAGTGTTAACAGTTTTTCACCGTGTAATTGAAAAAGCTCACATTGTTTTATGAAAAACACCGTTTTGTAAAACAGCGTAAAACTGAAATCATAACTTTGTAAAAAGGTGTAAAACAGCTTTAGAGAAAAGTTGGGAGAAGTGGGACGCGGGATAAGTGGAATTTCTAATTAGGAGTGGTGCCTAAATACTGTTATTTAATTTAAAAAATAAAATTCCCCTTAACTTAGCAGAAATTGCTTGTTTTCCCTGCTTTCGCAAGACGTCCTATTTTGAAATGTATCTTAAAAAAGTGTTTTCATTGGGGTGAAGTAGGACAGACAGGACAGGACAGAGAAAAGAATTATTTTATGTCCCGCTTCTTTCCGTCGCTATTTGATTATTTCGATAGGTGAAAGCTCTTGAACATTTTAATGTCGATTAGGTGATTTTATGATTTTTCTATTTAATAATTTGTGTTAAAATCTTGTTTTAATACATGTTATTAAATAGAAAAATCATAAAATCTTATTTCTCACACTTGTTCCCCTTTACCCTAGTGGGACGGTTTCTCTAAAAGCAAAAATTTATATACTTACTTATAAATGGCTGGAAATCTAAGGAGATTGAACCGGTGCCTAAAAAGAAGGCTTATTCGTAAAAACTTGTTTAGTTTAGTTTATACATCAAATAAAAAAGATATTGCGATTACTTCGATAGGTGAAGCTAGAGAGCTATGGTATAAAAGATAAAACCCTAAATTGGTTCAAAAGTTATCTAAGTAACCGCAAACAATTTGTTTATAACAAAGAATCTTCATCGCAAATAATAAAAAATATAACATGCGGTGTCCCCCAAGGGTCCATACTTGGACCACTATTATTTCTATTATACATAAATGATCTTTACAAAGCTTCTACCCTAACGACCGTAAATTTTGCAGATAATACGAATTTATTTCAGTCGCACGAAAACATAGAAATACTTTTTAATAATATGAACAATGAATTAAAAAGAACATCATATTGGTTTAGAAAAAATAAATTGTCCTTAAATACGGATAAAGCAAAGTTTATATTTTTCACCCAACCTCTAAAAAAAAGAGAATCCAAAATATCTTACCTGACCTATTCATTGACAATAAAATCACAAAAAGAGAAAAATTTTCAAAATTTTTAGGAGTCATAATAGATGAAAACTTATCTTGGAGTCAGCAAATTGATAGCATTTCAATGAAAGTTGCTAAAAACATTGGAGTTCTATACAAAGCTCGATATATACTAAATAAAAAGCCACTAACTCAACTATATTATTCATTTATTCATTGCCATATAAACTATGCCAATATTATATGGGGAAGCGCTCACAAAACCAAACTTAAATCTCTCTATCGGCATCAGAAACACGCAGCTCGCATAATTAATTTTGAAAATCGTTTTTCAAGCTCAACACCACTTATAGAAATGAAAGCTTTAATATACGAACTAAATATTTTTAATATTTTATGTTTTATGTTTAAATGTAAAGAAAATTTATCTCCAAGTGTATTTATAAATCTCTATAATTTGAAACCAAAAAACAAATATGAACTTCGTGATAGTAAAAATATTCAAGAGCCGTTTTGCAAAACAAAAATTGACCAGTTTTGTATTTCTTATCGTGGTCCATTGCTTTGGAATAAAATAGTTTTACCTAACTTTGATTTTTCTTTTAAATGGTCTTATTCCTCCTTTAAAAAAAAAACAAAAGAAATAATCTTTTCAACACAAAATATATTTATTTATTTTTAGTATTTCAAGTTATTTGATATTTTTGTCGACTGTGTGATAAACAATATATGCTGAATACTTTATATTATAATATTGTTCAATATTGAGAATGTTATATATCCATATTATAAAATATTATGTTAAACTTGCTTAACATCTAAAGAATATTCTAACGCTTATGTAATTTTTAATATTTGTAAATTTTCTACCTTTTAATTCGTTATATAGATTGTAAAGGGCTTCATGATAAAATCATGTGATCTTCTGGAAGTCCTACCAGTAATATATTCAATGTAAATTTACCTTGCTCATATTTTTCTGAAAAAACTTGTTAAATTAAAATTATATATATATATATATATATATATATATATATATATATATATATATATATATATATATATATATTATATATATATATATATATCCTTGCCAAATATATAATTCATTTGAACTATGATAACAAATAATAATAAAGATAAATCCTTGCCAAATATATAATTCATTTGAACTAAGATAACAGTATATAAACATATAAATATATGAAACAGTATATAAACATATAAATATATAAAAAACATATAAATATATGAAAAACACGCTAATATAATATTGACGCATATATAAGTACCAATAGTTTCTTTCAAAAAAGATATGTGTTTTTTTTCATATAGGGGACAAGGAAGCTATTTTATGATTGATTTTCAATTAATTCAAGCCTTGACTCTTTTCAAGCAATTTGGCGGGGTTGTTGCTAATGCAAAGCTGTTTGGTAATGTCATTTGAAAGCCAATCATTTGCGGGCCTGTCAATGTTCTGATTTTGGTAATCATTCCACTGATGGAATTGCATCTCCTCTTAGGAGTTGTCAACCATCTTTTCAAGAACATTTTTTAAAACTGCTTGGATAGAAGCTGTTAAGTGGCCAGCTGCCCTCCACATTCAACTGAGTCCGTATCACGGGGGCCAGTTTGACGGAAATAAATGCAGGAAGCTTCTTAAAAATGTGGATATGCTGCAGCAACTTGCTGAGACAAACATGGTTCCCAATATTGCGTACATAACTGAAGCATTCAAAAGCTTCAATTTAGTTGTCAAGGCTCGCTTCGGATACATCCTTCAGCCAGATTTTGCTGAAAAAAATGAAAATTTTAAAAAGTGTTACCTAATGATAATTGGTGCAAGCGTAAAACCCAAAATTTACGCTGTCTTCTACCACGTCTTTTATCAAGGATTTCATCAGTCACAATAGATCCCCCTTGGGGCCCTATAGTAAACAAACTGTCAAAACTTCTCATCAAGATTTTTATCAACATTGGTCGAGGTATAAGCGAAATAATAATTATCCAGAGTACAAAGAAAGATTGTTGCGCTGCATAATTGATCTAAACAGTAAGGATCTTTAAAGAACATCATTTGAGTTATTAGAAATTAGGCTGCTGAAATTCATATTTTACGGCGTATAATGAATATTTTCACCATCTTTAAAAATAGTATTATGGAGTATTTGTATTAAAAGAGTACATTGAGCTATTTATTAATAATCTTTTGGTGGAGAAAATCAAAAAATCATTTCTTAAAATGTAATTAGATATTAGATGGTAATACAATGTAAAAATAGGGTTTTTTATAGTTTTCACTTAATTTTAAAAGTAAATGTATTTAAGGAGGTCAATACAAAATATTTTAGGAGATCTACTTTTTTTGTTTGTTTTACTAACTGGTAGTCCTTTGACCAGGTTTTGCACTTTTTTTAGCCTTTTTTTGGGAGTAGTTTATAGCTTGGGAAATGTTGGTATATTCAAGCGAAGCATACATGGCCGTTAATGCCGGGGAGGTTTGGGGGTCATGTCCTTCTCTACTTTTTTTTTGCGAAGACATTTTGTTTTAGAAATATAGGCCATTATTTAAGAAATTATCGATTTTATTTTAGAAATTGAAGGGTTGACCCCCTCCACTTTGAAGGCCGTGTCGACATTATTAGCATAAGACTATTTAAATCACGCTTTAAGTAGAAAATCATTATTTTGCTCTATAAAATGAAAACTGTACATGTACGAATAAAATAATTATAATTGTTGGTATTACATAGTAGAACACTCATGTAACCTTTTTTTTAAAAAATAGTGACCGAATTTCAAAGTTATCGGTAACGCTTTGAGGTATAACTAGCAAAAAACTGACAAAACTTCAACTAAAACTGCAATAAATCCTACACCAGTCATCTAATCAGGCTGAAATTTTGTCCAGAGTTTGGTGTGACTATTGGCTACATTTGCACAAATTTTTATCAAATTATATTGAGTGGTTTAAATTCTACAAGTATTTTTATTGGCGCACTATGAAGTCAAAA